TATATTTATATATATATATATATATATATATATATATATATATATATATATATATATATATATAAAGTATGAGTAAAATATGAGTAAAATATGTAAATAAGCTCACTATATAATTAAAAAATCAAAGTCCTTATAGGTAATGTTTTAAAAATATTTTTATTTAGATACTTGAAAATGAAAAAGTGCATGGAACAAGGGAAGTTAGAATCTGAAAATTACCTAAACATTTGCATAATATGAAAAGGATAAAAATTTAATGATCAAATTCAAGTTGAAAATGATAATATATGAAAGGAATGACTTTACTACAGAGAACTCTCAGTTTCAATTTACAGGTAATTTTAATACTGAATTGGTCCTCTTCATTTCTTAGTTAAATTTTTGGCCTTGTAATAATTATTGTACCAAGTTTTTAAAGTATTTTAGGGAAATGTTGGATGTAAATTGAGAATTGCATATAACTAATCCAATTTTATAAACCTCTTTGGTTCGTCTGCATTTTGAACATCTATTTTTGATAATGTGTATGCAGCGGCCTTACAGAATCATGAAGCACTTTTTATAATTGTTTATTTTTTTTATATACGGAATATCAGTGAATTTCAGAGTAAGTTCTTTCTCTTCAAGCTGCCTCTAATAAAATTGAGGAGGGGAAGTGAATTCTTACTGCATGTTTTTAACTCTTTCCAATAAGCTCTCTTTGAAGAAAATTGGTTGAATATTGATGAAGAATATCCAATAGTATGACCCAGAAATACTTTCAAGAAATGGGGCATCTTACTACATGATTTACTGTAGAAATTGTCCATTTGGAAAGATATTGGAATGCACTATCTTCCTCTTTGTTGCTCAGTTCCATTAGAAATTCCCAATGATATATTCAAGTGATCTTACTGTTCTTTGTTCATTTTTGCCTTGTGATATTACCAGTTACCACCACCTTGTCTTAAGAGACAGTATTTGGTCTTTTCATGGGTTGCTCTTAACAAATCCAACATCATTGCAACGAGGCTTTAGATGTAGAGGCAGAGGCATTGTGCCATTTTCTTTAATACAACCTGTGTCACTGCTCATGGTACCAGTAATAAGATACCGAGCATGGAAATGGTGTTTTCTGTGGAGTCAGCGCTCTTCTAGGCACCGCTCATGGACATTACTTTCCACACTCATACATTGATTTTCAATTGCCAAATGAGTAAAATAAACTTCCCAATAGGCTTGTCCACTCATGGCTAGTCATTTCCATCACCCCGTCCTTCAGCTGAAACGTTCACTAATGCAGGTTCGCGTCACCCAGCCTTCAGCCAGATTTTCCTGTGATGGCATGTTCTTGTCCCCTGCCCCTCGAACTGGATTTTTTCTTGATGTGATGATCACATCACCTGGATCCAAGGGGCTAAAAGCTGCTCAATACCTAGTTTTACCACATGTCAGGTGTATGATATATCCAAAATACGGTAAAAAAAAGTATTTGCTTTATTTTTTAGCTAGAGATCTATTACCCAATTTTTGTAAGTATGGAACCAACCTTACTTAAAATAACTTAGTATTCAGAGAATCTAGCTACACTGGGCTTGGAATACATAACTTTTTTGTTGAAATTTAATGTGACATATGATTGGTCACTCATTGAATCTGTATGGCTGTGTTGCTGGTAACATATGTTATGTTGACAATATTTTAGTCCAGTCTCAGATTATTGACCTGTTACCATGTGGATTTAGCTGAGTTGACTGGATGTATTTTTTAGGAATTTAGGCTTGAAAATATCATTGATCTTGTATTTTAGTCACAAAACAGGACCTAATGCATAAAAGGGTATTAAAACAAGCATGCTAGTTGCTGGAATAGGTCTAATACTATCAAGTTCATGCCGGCCTGGAGGCATGAGGCAAAAGATATTTTTTCAGTTTGCATTGGAAATTGTTTAGCATAGAAAATGTAAAAGTCTAAAACCCCTCTAGCCTTTTCCTTTTATTGACAAGGTAAGAGACATTAACGCAAGCCTACACCATAACACAAGGAGAATGCTTGAGAGGCTTGTGAGTATACTGAGGGTCCATCCTGTTGCTCCTCATGGTCAATGATTAGTCATTTTCATGTTGGTAAATCACTTTATAGTTGACTCATCAGAGGAAATAACATTTTCCCTGTCTTTTTTGTCTGGTGGAGATACGTCCTGCAAAAAGCAATGTATTTCCTTTGCATCTTAGGCACAAGTGAGGATGCAGAGGGGAAGACAAGATCTCTCTGGAGCTGATATATGATCTTCTAGATGTTGTCACTTTAATTGATGGGCTGAAGTTGATATGTTGGACAGCACTCTACAAGTGCCAGTCAGTCTGATTGGAAGTCTTTAACCCCCTTGATGACAGGTGAAGAAGACTAAAAAAAAAATCTATCCTCAATTGATCAATGGCAATGCGCCGACTTTGAGCGTCGAAGTTCGGTACATCAAGCCAAATCACCGGCTTGTAGTGCTTTGGTGCGCCGCTGCGGCGTACAGCTGCACGCCACAGAACGAGTGTTTGTTTTGACGCCTGACAGCGTGATCCACTGGGAAGGGATCAAGGGTTCTCCAGGGGGAAACTTCACCATGTTGAGTTTTCAGCTCATCTTACCCACAATCCTTTAATACTTTTTGCAAAGTGTGGGCAAGCCCCTTTTTCACTATATAATTCATCCTCTTGATGGTACGTGTAGCATACTTACAAATGACCAAATACAAGTTGTATTTGTGACAGATGGGTGTGTGCATAAAGGTCACTCTAATAGAAGTCACGTATGTACTGAGCAATATGTGGTGCTGTCTGAGTGTCATAGGCCCTCCACATCGTGACTGCTAGCCAAAAATATCTTACTGATATTGATGTTTGGTGTCCATTATTGTTCATAGCAATGCCATTGCCACATTATATTGATGAGAATGGTAAATAGAGAATTTGGAAAGGTGAATATCTTACTTGTACTGAAATTTACCCACCCATACTTCAATAGATAATTGCATTTCAAACCTACAAAGAGAAATTTTTAAATATCTGTTGAATTGAAAGCTTGTATTGTTGACTCAAAGGCATGTATAGACATTATGATGAAATGGGAATTGAGAGGAAGGTAATGCATTTTTTAATTTTCATAAATAAAGGTTATATGAGAGCAATTAGTGTAAGAAACAATTATCCAGATTGAGATGAATGCTTCTTCAAAATTGGTAATTAAAAAGTTAATGCTCACTTGTTTTGTGTCCAACAGAAGACCATGTTTGAGGTATAAAATACTTTATCGGTAGTACCAAACTTTTAAGATGTCTGAGAACAGATAATGTTTCAAATGAAATAACAGTAGTTAAATCTTAGAAAACATGAGAGAACCAAACACCACGTATTAATATAATTTTACTTCTCTGTATTGGTATTTTTTCAATCATACTATGCTATATGATAATTTTTTGAAGTTCTGTTTTTTTTATTGATTCCCTTTGAAAGTGAAAAAAAAGCCTCTTACCATAAAGATCATAAAAATATAATGCACTTTATAGTACTGTAATGAGTGACTAAGGGTAAGGAAAGAAGCATATTTTGTGCATGCAAATAATTTGTATACTTAACATTAGATTAAAGGTGAGTTTTGAATGTAAGTGAAGAGGATGTAGACATTAATTTTAACCCAAAACAAGTGTATTATAAAATGCATTTGCTTGCGCATCATGCTTTATTACTGTTTATGGATGAGTGAAGCTGTTAGTGTGATTGTTAGTTGTATTTTCCAATGCAATGTTATATGTATCTTGTCACAGTACTACAGTTCAATTCATTGAAGAAGGTAGGTGGTTTGGTTATGTAATGCTAGAAGTTTTGTAGTGAGTATTATAATTAAGTAGACTTTTGTTTGGTTTGAAATGGTATGTGTTCATATACTTACCTTTGCACAGTTTTGATCTCCGTATTTTTAGTTCATTTGGAGACAGCATTTAGCCCAAACATAAAGAAAGGTTTAAACAATATGATTTCTTTAAGTATATGTTAATTATTGTAGTCATCTCTAAAGAGAAATAGATCTAAGGCTCCTTTTTGGTGGATTGTATTTCTGATGTACTACTGATAGGTTTATAACACAAGTCATGTATTCTCTGTTTAAAAAAGTACGACTAGTTTTTTGTCTTCTCGTCTTCCGAGTAACATCATTATTCAGTGAATCTAATCCCCATGGTTGGTGAGGGATTTTTGATACCTGTCCATCAACACTGACAAATACACACGTATGTGCATGTGCCTGTGCATTTTAATCACATGTCACTCACAATGGACCATATCACAAATCAAACCACACTACACTACGCATCATACATTCTTACACACAGTCTCTAAAGTGTGTTTGCCAATGTGTGTATGTTTGTTTTGAATTAAAAGAATTTAAGGTATTCTTGCTTTACATTAAGCTTGCAGCCATTACATAGCCAAATCTCCAACCACTTTGGCTCAGATATTAACAAGAAGTTGAGATATATATATAACAGCAAAGAAATAAACCCAAATCCTCAAAAAAAGAGTGGAAGTATTAATAATAATAAAAGAATGATAATAGTCCACAGTGATTTGTGGAACTTCGTGAAATGTATTATTAACAAGCGTGACAAGTAATAATGCCTTTGTTTTCAAATGATCCAGGAAGTTTTGTTGCTCCTTGACGATGATCACAAGCCCTCTTTCTCTATGGTTCTGGGGGGTGGGGGGACTAGATTTTGAATGACAACTATAAGTAGTAAAAAACAATGAAAGAAGTAGAAGATACCTTGGCAGTATTGTATCATTTAACATACAGTTCAGCAGTAACGAACTGTGCTCACTCTACCTGAACTATCCTAAACTCTTCTTTATATAAGAAATTCTCCTTCAGAATGCAACACAGTAGTTGTAGTTTGCTGTAGTATTTGCAAGTAAATATTAAGGCCCAAATCAGTTGTCACTGATGCCAAGCAGGTATTTTTTTCTTTTTCACAGCTTGATAATTACAATGTCAGGGAAAATGCTGCCCTGAAAGTTAATATTAGCATTCCTAATCTGCGGCTGTTTGTGGGGAACATCCCAAAATCAAAGTCTAAAGAAGAAATTATGGAAGAATTTTCAAAACGCACAGGTAAAGTGAGAGCGCTCAAATGTTTGTTTGTACATCATCATTATCATGAGGTATTCCTCTGAAAAATGCAGGCTTGCCCCTTTTCCTCAGAGGAATACCTCTCCATTTTCATTACCGAATCTACTTGTCTTGAGGGCTGTGGAGTTTATTTCAGGGTTCCAAGTAGATTCACTTTTAAAACTTAATTTATGCCCATATACAGGAATCGTCATATCTTTTGCAGCTGAATGAATATGAAATTCAGCGCGGCAAAAAATTAGGGGTCACTATTTCATACAACAATCATCGATTGTTCGTAGGAAATATCCCCAAGAACAGGGAGCGACATGAATTATATGAGGAGTTTGCAAAGCACGCACGTAAGTTGACCTTTGTGTCACAGGTAGTCAGTGGCTTGTGGGTATGTCAGTCCTAGCTGTGCGTTCTGTCACCATTGACTTGGCAGCTTCTTACACTAAGAATGTGTTTTAAGTGGTCCCCTCTACATTATAGATTTGTAAAGCTAGACATTTCCACAATATAACTGGCTCTAAACATGGTTGCTTGATGGTGCATCATACTCACTGCTCCCCCTGTGAACTCCCCTCCCCCCATTCCACACATCCTAAGTTTATATCTCCCATGGAATAATTTAGTATTAGCACTGTTTGATGCTGTGCTGAAGCTATAGCATCCTTACCTGCAGCAGCTGAAAGGGTTTCAGTCATAGGTTTTTAATTTATCCATTATCATTGTTTTTTTTATTATTATTTTACTTATAATTTTTGTGGCAGTAATTTTTCCAGTTGCCTGGTGACACATTGGCCACTCTTTGTTTTTCCTTGTTGCAGAATCAACATCATTGCCCTGACTCCATCTTGCAAAGTCTTACCATATGGCAAAGCTGGAGGTATTGCTCAGATATTAAGGATACAAAAAGAAAGAAAAAAAGTAAAAAGTAAATGCAACCTCAGAGCATTGAGAATGTCATATGGTATGGCCTTGCCTTCTTATACCTGATTTGCTAGTGGTGTTGCTTGCATGTAATTTTATAGCAGTGATGGCTAATTTGGTCCTGTAAAACATACACTAACATGAGTCCATACAGCCCCCTTTCCCTCTTTTTTATTTTATTTATTTTTTATGTATTAATTTATTTTTAGATATTTCACTGTTTGTTTATTTTATATTTACTTTTGACTTATTTGTTTATCTGTTATGTTTATACATTTACAATGATCAATTTCAAGTCTTCATTTATTGTTTATCATTATAATAGTTATAATTTTTGTGGCTGTGATTTTCCTTATGGTCTACCAATAATGTTTCTCTCAATTTCATTTATGTCTTTTTATTATTATTATTATTATCATTATTATTATCATTATTATTATTATTATTATTATTATTATTATTGTTATTATTATTATTATCATTGTGTTATTTATTTTTTCTCTATATTTTTTTTTATAGGTGCCATATGTTTAGATTTAGTTAATGATTGATACACTCTTGCATAGACCTAACACAATTGATTAGTCATGAATGCTCATGAAACATTTTTTAGTAATTTAAGAATCTTTAATGAGATACTGCATTAAAAATGTAGATACATAGTTCTTGCTTAATTTATTTTTCCATGTTTGCTTAACAGCTGGTTTGGTCGAGGTGATAATTTACAGTTCTCCAGATGACAAAAAGAAAAATCGAGGCTTCTGCTTTTTGGAGTACGAGTCACATAAGGTATGTTTACAGATGTGTGTCAAATAATTGGAATATGAGGAATTTTTGCTTTATGTGTGTCTTACAACAAATGGAATATTTTTTCTTTCTTCATTCTGTAATTAATAGAAAATACAAAATATACTAAAATTTATGCAACAAAACTGAAGACAGTTATATAATACTTGGCAGGCTGCTTCCTTGGCAAAACGGCGACTAAGCTCTGGACGATTTAAAGTGTGGGGCTGTGAGATCATAGTCGATTGGGCAGACCCACAAGAGGAACCAGATGAAGATACTATGTCTAAGGTAAGCATGAAGTATATACCAATTTATTATTTATTTATTTTTTTTCCAAATCCCATCTCTTTTTATTTTTTCCTAACCCCTGCTCATCTCATTTCTCTCTCTCTCTCTCTCTCTCTCTCTCTCTCTCTCTCCTCTCTCTCTCTCTCTCTCTCTCTCTCTCTCTCTCTCTCTCTCTCTCTCTCTCTCTCCTCCTCTCTCTCCTCTCTTCCTCGTCTCTTTCTCCCTCTGTCTTTCTCTTTTCCCTATGTCTCTCAGTCTTAACCCTCTGTCTCTTTCTCTCTTCCCTCTGTCTCTCTCCTTTTCCCCTCTGTCTTTCTCTTTTCCCTATGTCTCTCAGTCTTAACCCTCTGTCTC